TAGTGCAAGTTTGTGGAAAGCCGGCTGATGGATCCCCGCCTTGGGTCAACCCCGCGTCATCCCTCGAAGAATTTCGCAACTTTGAGCAGTGTCAGTGACAGTGATTTTCTGTGAAGTGTTTAGTGCATTGTGTGTTTCGTGCCATTCATGTGTGACCTTGTTCGAACGGATTTCCAAGGTATACGGCATGTTCTGGGCATTTGTGGGGTGTAGAGCTCAGCGCACCCTCCTCTGACCGTTTACAGAGAGCGACTGAGCTACTCCTATCTCCACCCCCCTCCCTCACAGCGCCGCCTCCACCCCCCCTCACAGCTGGGGCGAGACGCTCTGCCTGCCTGGGACACACACACATACATGTACTAACACTTGCTGACCGCGCGGTTTCTTATATATATTTTATATATATAACCTACTTATCTGTGTATTTAATTAAAAATTTTTTGTCTGAAATCTTGTTGATACGACGGGCTGACCGGTCAACACTGATTTAAGACACAGTACACAGATAAAGTAGTTATGTCTCATGCCTTACGTAGCCGTGGACCCAGCGCCTGGATGAGTCAAGCGGATGATAGTCCCCCAGAGATGGATGACCAGGCTGACCATGACACCCCAGCTCCCACAACATCGCGCAGCCCTTCACCTCACCATTCAGCGTTATCTCCAGAGATAATTGCCTTAATGAAGTTTATGAGAGATGAGAGACGCGAGGATGAAGCTCACAGACGTTTGGCGGATGAGCACAGAAGGCAAGCAGAGGCAGAACGAGACCACCAACGGAGAATGGAAGACAGTGCACGGTTTGAAGCCTTGATATCTCGCCTCACTGTTAACCAAGCCCCTGGCTCTAACACTGCCTCGGTACTGAATGGTTCAGATACCTCATCCATGCTTCCTTCACGCCCCCCAGCCCCACCTAAAGCAGCAGCTCAAACACCGCCCATCTTGGAGCCTGATGTAAATTTCCAGACTTTTCGCGAATGGCGGCGGCGGTGGGCTGATTATGCTACAATGGTGGATCTCCAGAGTTTGTCACAGCCTAAACAACTCATCCAGCTGCGTATGTGCCTGTCCTTGGAAGTTCAGCGTGTCTTAGAACATACGTTGCAGGTACCCCCAACCTCTTCGCTGTCTGTAGAGGAGGTACTGGACGTTCTACAACGGCACATCAAAGGACAGCAGAATGAAGCTCTGCGCAGGAGGGAATTGTTTAGCTGCAGACAGATGGAGGGTGAGTCTTTTGACGCTTTTTATGTACGTCTTAAGAGAGCCTCGGAAGAGGTAGATATATGTTTAGGCCACCACCAGCAGTGCGAGGAGACCCAGTTGAAGCAGGTGATCCTGATGGGTGTTAAGGACGAGGAACTTGTCCAACGCCTCACCTCCCTCGACTCTTCCTCTTCTCTTCAGGATGTGTTGACGATATGTCGCTCCTATGAGGCCGCCAGGTGTGCCACCTCTGCCATCCGAGCTCCCCCTACAGCTGTACGCGCTGTGTCCCGGTACAAGAAGGACAAGAAGTCCGCTCCTACGCCTTCGCCCACCACGTCCACGCCCGGTTCATTTTGTAACAACTGTGGTAAGCAGCACGGAACACAGGTGTGTCCAGCTGCTCAGTCTACCTGCAACAGTTGTGACCGTATGGGCCACTGGTCGCTCACAGTGCGGTGCCCAGCTAAGTACGTACAGTGCAATGTGTGCGGTCGTCTGGGCCACTATGACAAGTGTTGCCCTACCCACGAACCCAAGGGACAGCGTCGGCGGAAGCTTCGGCGCCCTTCTACCAGTGAGGGCCGCCCACAGTCGCCAAATCAGAGGCACGACGACCCTGGACAAAGCCCGACCCATTTTAGGAGGGTGTACTCCTCGCATCCCAGGACCAAAGTCACCCAGTACATCAGCGCCATCGTGACCTACGGCGGCGTGTCATCCCGTCTTCAGATGTTGCCCGACACCGGCGCTGATGCTACAGTCATCGGTCCCCAGCATTTGCGATGCTTGGGGCTCTCTCCAAGCGATCTAGGACCGCCTGCCGAGGACCTCTGCGTCATGGCAGATGGTTCACAGATGGCCCCAGCCCTGGGTTCACTCTATGCACATGTCACCTTTGGCAACAGGTCGTGTCAGGCCTGGATTGACGTGCATAATGGTGTCCCGACTCCCTTGCTGTCCTACAGACATTGTCAAGAGTTGGCCATCATCTCCCAGGACTTCCCAACACCGATTCTCGAGGTAAATTACGCCAACAGGGTGCATGAAGGGAGCAGCAACTACCCTGCTGCCGCCTTACCCCTACCTCTGGCCAGTGACACCTCTCCTTCGGTAGTTGTCCCTGCTGCATCACGTCCCCACGCCCTGGCTCGCCTTCACGACAGTCACCGTGGAGCTGAGGCCACCAAACGACGTGCACGACAGACTGTGTTCCGGCCTGGCATCGACCCCGACATCTCCAATGCTGTCCAGGTGTGTAAGCCCCGCCACGTATTACAACCCAGCCAGCAGCAGGTACCCTTCATGAGTGACGACAACCCCACCCGCCCCTTTGAGTCTGTGTCGGCCGACTTTTTCTGTGTGTCAGGAAAGTCCTTCCTGGTTATCGTCGACCGTCTCTCTGGTTGGCCGGTTGTCATCAAGGGCGGTAATGACACGACGTCTGCCGCCACCATCAGCAAGTTCCGCCACTACTTCCGTGACGTGGGCGTTCCTGTACGCCTGCGAACCGACGGAGGGCCTCAGTTCACAAGCCGGGACTTTGCTGCGTTCCTTGACCGATGGGGAGTCCGGCATGTGTTGTCATCGCCCCATTACCCGCAGTCCAACGGCCACGCTGAGGCTGCTGTCAAATCTTTGAAGCACCTCATCCTTAAGGTGGCCCCTTTTGGGAATATTGACTGCGAGGCCTTCGACCGGGGTCTTCTTGAACTCCGCAACACACCCAACTACACCGGACGCTCCCCTGCCCAGGTTTTGTATGGACGCCCCCTTCGTTCTTGTGTCCCTGCTCACCCTCAATCCTTCTCCAAGGAGTGGCAGGCTAAGACAGAGGATTGTGATCGCCGAGCCGCCGAACGTGTTCAGGACGTCGTCGCCCGCTACAACGACCACGCCCGTTCCCTCCCCAGGTTGAGTGTCGGCACCCAAGTCCGTGTTCAGGACCCGACCTCCCTACGTTGGGACAAAGTAGGCGTAGTCATGGGTCTCGGCAGGTCACGGGACTACCAGGTGCGGTTACCCAGTGGTCGTGTGTGGTGGAGGAACCGCCGTTTTCTCCGCCCCGTAACAATGCCTTCTGCTGGCCCCGCCACCAGTGTTGAGTCCCATACCCTTCCCAGTGATGAAGCCCCTCGACGCTCAGAACGGATCCAGAAGAAAAGGTCCGCTCAAGACTTTGCTATGAGCGTATAGGGGGGAGGGAGGTGTATGTATATTATGTATGCTGGATTATGTATTATGTATGTATATTATGTATGTGCTCCATTTATGTTTATTCAGCCTAGCTAGCAGCGTGTGGCAATGTTATTACCATATCCCACATGCTTAATTAATGTGCCTGGCGACGTATGGAAGCTGCTAATGTATCACTTGCCATACGTCGTCTATGGTAGTTGACCAGGACCTTAGCTAGGGAGCAGTGCTATCCACCTCTGTGTACATACTCTTATCCAGTAAACCGAACCTACAAAACTATACAGGTGTTTGTGTTCTCTCCTGTATATAGAACTTATTACCCAGAACATCTAACAGGTACACAGGGCAGTGTATTGGGCCCGCTGTTGTTTGTTTGTTTCATAAATGACATGCATGACGTTGTACACTCCTCCATACAAATGTTTGCCGATGACGCCAAGTTATTTCGGGAAATCAAGAACCAAGCGGACTGTGAAAAGCTGCAGAAAGACCTCTATGGGCTCCAAGAATGGTCAAAGAAATGGCTGCTGAGATTCAATGTCACGAAGTGTAAGAGGATGCACCTGGGGCGTACCAACGGTAAGGAGGCGTATCATATGTCCCAACGGGATGAAGAAACTGCACTATTTGAGACAATGTAAGAAGGACCTAGGTGTGTATGTTGACAATGAGCTGAAGGTCTCGCACCATTGCGAGAAGAAGGTAAATCAGGCAAATAGATTATTGGGTCTTATAAGAAGGTCGTTCAGATATCTAGACTGTCCGTCCCTCGTAACGATCTTCAAGAGTGAAGAGCTTCCCCATCTGGAGTACTGTCACCCCGTCTGGTCCCCGAGATATGCTAGGGACTGTCAGTTGGTTGAAAATGTTCAAAGGAGGGCCACCAGACTGGTGCCTGCACTTCGGCACCCCAGCTACCCCGAGAGATTGGAGCGCCTGAACTTGCCTAGCTTATACTACAGACGGGCAAGGGGCGACCTAATTGAGGTGTATAAGCATCTCAAGGGGCGCTACTCAGTCAAGTGTCCTTACTTGGAGCTGGCGGACGCTCGCCCCACAAGGGGTTACAGCTCAAGATTGAAGAAGCCGCAAGTCCAGAAAACTGTGAGGGCAAACTTTTTCGGAGTGAGAGTTGTGAACTCTTGGAACAATCTGCCAGAAAGTGTTGTGACGGCACCGAGTGCGAGTTCTTTCAAGACCAGACTTGACCAACACTGGAGCAGGTTCAGGTACATTTAGGAGCCGGTGCATGCCCAGTACCTGCCAACAGTGCGTAACAGAGAGCCAGTACATGACTAGTACTTGCCAACAGTGCGTGGCGGAGACGTGACCGATCACCCAAGCGGCTAACAAGCCGACCAGTGGTGAAGAGGATAAAAGTAAAAGTAAAGTGGTGAGAGCCAAGTGTGCTATGCTGTACAGTACCACCAACACCGACCTTCAATCCTTGAACAAAGTAAACTAAACATAAGTGGGAAGGCAGTAGACAGTTGACAGTAAATATATTGGTTAAATTTTACATTATTGGTTTAAAATTGGCTGTGAATTAACGTAAACTAATTTTGTTGTTTCACATCATTGTTTCTTTACAGGATTATGAGACTTGCGTCTTAACAGGAGACCGGGAGTGCCAGTACCGAGAAGGGGATGAGCGTTCAGACTTTGCCCAGCTGACAGAATTTTTCTGTGGACAGGAGAAGAAATGCACGTTAGTAGTTTTAACATGAATATTGCACAGTATTGTTATTACAAGCTAGCTACACTTCAATAACATAAACAAGAACTGTGCGATTAAATACCAGCTACTGCATTGTAGTCTTAACAATTTTAACATGAACAGTGTTGTTGAATACTAACGTGAGTAAATCCTTCTTGTCACAGAAATTAATAAGGTTATTTTATACATAGTAGTGGAGTCTGAGCACAACACACTGTACACTAACCTAATGGCCTGCATCAGTTAAGTCAATTCTTTCAGAAGAATGAAAAATATAAATTAATATAACAGAAATATTACCAATTTACAATCAATAAAAATATACTATAGCTTTTCACGTTCCGTCAGCGGATTCAACACAGATTACGCGCTGCAGAAAGCTAAGGAAAACGTTGAGAAGAATTATGCAGTGGTGGGAGTGCTGGAAGACCTCAATACAACTCTTACTGTCCTCGAACACTACGTCCCCAAGTTCTTCAAGGGAGCCAAACACCTCTACTGGAGTAAGTATCTTTACCTAGATTTTGTACTGAACTGTAGAGGTCCCATTTGTCTGTATTTTTTTATCTCCTACTTGTGTGTAAGGAGAGAACAAGAGATCGAGAAACAGAGAGGGTTGGAAATACAAGAGAAGTACAGTCGACCCTCGTTAATTCGGACCCCTTTAATCCGGATTTCGGATAAATCGGACGAAATCTGAATTGTCCATATCAAATTTCTGGTTCTGGGATTGTCCCAGTTGCAATTGGGGTTGCAATTTCAAATTCTGTGTCACTACTAAGAAATTACAAAGTCTCTGGTGCACTCTAAGATTAAGAGAAAACGGACGACTCAGGCGTCCTGAAGTGAGAGAAAACGGACACCTATGACGGGGCACTCAAATAAAGAGACATGGCAACATGTTTTGTGGACTAGCCACTGTACAGTATCCTTTTCATCACTTTGTAATAAACCTCGTCATGCCTATGTGTTTTTTGATAATTACCATAACATTATATATTTATATATTTAGCGGTTGTACAAACACAAGGCCTCACACATGCCATTCAGACTGACAGACTTGACAAGTTTTACCAACCATAAAGACAGTTGAAGCTTTAAACATCACTCACAATGGATCTTGAATATTCCAACTGTAATCAGACATACCTAAGTTGCCTCAACAATTGTAACCCCAGTTGCAATATCAAATTCTGTGTCACTACTACGATATAACAGCCTCTGGTGCACTCTAAGATTAAGAGAAAACGGACGACTCAGGAGTGCTGAAGTGAGAGAAAACGGACTCTTATGACGGGGCACTCAAATAAACATACACATAGCTGTATAATGCAATATTAACCCCTAAATTGGTTAATTCGGACAATCGGCTAAAACGGACACCCTTCCCCCCCCCCCTATTAGTCCGTTTTAACGAGGGTCGACTGTACAGTATTATAGTAGAATAAAGTGTAAAAAGTAACAAGAAAGTGTTAAGAAAAAAGAAGAATCAGTGATGAATTTGATAAAGTAAAGTATTTATCACACCTCACATGATCAACATACAGTACCTTAACAATCTGCTAATAATATAAGAACGCTTGTGGGAATAACAAGAAAATCATTTATTTATTTTTATATTTTAACTGGTAAGTCCTTTTGCACAAACTTGAATACACTTTTGAGATATTAAAGTAGTCTTATAATATAAACAGTTTTGATAATTTTTTACCATTATTTTGTCCCTTAATAGATGAGGTGCAGAAGTTCTCCAAAGTGAACCGCAACATATACAAGCCCACAGTCTCCGAGAAGATCAAGGACATCGTTAGGAAAAACTTTACCAGAGAAATTGAATTTTATGAATTTTGTAAAAGAAGGATGTACATGCAGTATGCTGCTCTTAATCTTCCTGATAGTTATTAAGGATAATACCCTAATTTAGACACAATTATCTTCATTTAGGCATGTAGTGTATGTAGGTTATATTGAACTAGGGATCACTGTAGCAGAACACATCTAAAGATTTTGACAAAACAGGAATGAATACCTGTTGCACTTCACCACATACCATAGTGGCCTGTAAGAGTAAAGAAATTATCTTCTCTACATGTATTGTACTATAAAAAATATTAAATAAGCATTTTTTTTAGCAAATTTAGAAAATATTGTAATAATACTCTTGTCATAATCTAATATTGATTACCTTATTTACTTAATGGCCATCCAAACTAGAGGTGGCCACCCAAACTAGAGGTGACCGTACTGAGGAAAGTAGGTGAATGGTCAGTGTAGGATCCTTCTATTGTTCTTGATAGTCATACCTAACATAATGTAATTCAAGTACACAATCCATCTGTAACTAGATGTAACCTAACCATACCAAGGTTAGGTTATATTTAAGATAAACTTGGTTAGGTTAGGTTAGGTTAGGTTAGGCTAGGCTAGGCTCGGCTCGGTTCGGTTCGGTTCGGTTCGGTTCGTTTCGGTTAGGTTAGGTTAGGTTAGGTTCAAATAGATTCAGACTGAAACATTTCACAAATAACTGGGATAAGACAGTCCCAGAGAGTGTTTGTATGATGTAGTGTTTAAAGGTACAAGGCCATTTGTTTGTTGGCAACACTGTACAGTATATGTGAATTATTTTGTTGTTTTCTGGTTGTTTTGGTTGCTGGATGGAAATACTGTTTACATCATGTTGTTATCCATCAACATTACTGTAGCTCACATGATGACTGAATCTCCTGGTTCCTGCATGCTCCTATAACTTCATTAAACAACATACAGTACAGTCATAGGTCAGCTCAGCCATGGGGTAAAGTCGGACGCTCGCCCCACAAGGGGTCACAGCTCAAGATTGAAGAAGCCTCAGGTCCATAAAACTGTGAGGGCAAACTTTTTCGGAGTGAGAGTTGTGAACTCTTGGAACAATCTACCAGAAAATGTCGTGACGGCACCGAGTGTGAGCTCTTTCAAGACCACACCTCGATTATGCTGTTCAGTTCTGGTGCCCCTATTATAGAATGGATATCAATTCACTAGAGTCGGTGCAGCGAAGAATGACAAAAATGATTCCGGGACTTAGAAACCTTCCATATCAGGATAGGTTAAAGAAACTTAACTTGCATTCCCTAGAAAGACTAAGAGTGCGGGGAGATATGATAGAAGTATTTAAGTGGGTGAAAGGAATCAATAAAGGGGATATAGATAAATTTCTTATGATATCCGAGCAGGATAGGACTCGGAGCAACGGATTCAAGTTGGATAAGTTTAGGAGGGAGATAGGAAGGAACTGGTTCACAAATAGGGTGGTGGACGAGTGGAACAAGCTTAGCAAATTTGTAGTAAGTGCGGGAACTCTGGAAAGTTTCAAAAGGAGGCTAGATAGATTCATGGATGATAGAGTGGTAGTAACTCTCGACAGGAGCTGCCATGCACATGCCAACCGGCCTATTGCAGACTCCTTATTTTCTTGTGTTCTTATGTTCTTAAGAGCAGACTTGACCAACACTGGAGCAGGTTCAGGTACATGCAGGAGCCGGTGCATGCCCAGTACTTGCCAATAGTGCGTAACAGAGACGTGACCGATCGCCCAAGCGGCTAACGAGCCGATCAGTGGTGAAGAGGATAAAAGTAAAGGAAGGGTTAAACCATTACTTACGTTGTCTACCCACAAAAAATTTAATAGTAAAGTAATTTGTTGTAAGTTTTGCTTATTACCAATTTAAACAACACTCATTATTTAATTAAATGAGATACAGGGGTAACTGTACTATTTTACATATACTGTACTACTGTACACTAATTCCCAACAAACTGTAGCTAATATAATTTACTTTCATATGGGGGATTGATTATATAGTTAGTGCAATATTTATTTATTTTTCCTAGTCTTTTTGTTATTTGAGTTTACTTGTGTGGAGGAAAAATTAACATCACTTGGAGACACAACCTTTGACAACAGAATACATTTATCGTGAGGGATATTGGTTGAGAGGAAGTGCCGGGTTACTGGTCAGGTGGGCCTCTACGTAGCCTGACTATGAGGGGCCTGTCCTAATGCATCTCAGTTTAAATGGACCTTACTCTTAATGGTTAGGGTAGGTTGGTATATGTCTCCTAAGTTTCGGGACCCATTTTACCAGCAGCCTGGGATTATTATTCATGGTTTTGATGTAGATTGACCAATTTGTTATACAGGTCAACAGCTCTTACAATATTATCACCTTATTTTGTATTTAATATTATTCACATTGAAGTGTTTTTATCTAACTAGTAATATATAGTTGTTATCTTCTGTTCTCAACCTTCTTTATTCCTAAGGTTTATTGGCATTTTCTCCATACATAATTCTTAAACTTGTAATTATCTTTGAGTTCATTGTTATCTGTATTATTTGTTATTTCCTCTTTATTTATACCCCCACTGTGTATGGCTGGGACCACTTTATTTGTACTTGTTTGAGTGATTTTTGCCATTTTTACAATTCTTCAGTTTCTGGAAATGGATATTTTGTGGTGTGTGTGTGTGTGTGTGAGTGTGTGTGTGTGTGTGTGTGTGTGTGTGTGTGTGTGTGTGTGTGTGTGTGTCCTAATCTTCATTGTCATAATCATCCTCCAATCCTCAGCTAGTCGACTATCACCCTCCTCAAGCATTAACTCACAGTAATAATGAACATTTTATGTATTTCAATATCATCAACCTGTGTTCTCAGCGTAGGTTCATGTACAATATTCTTTAATCTTAGTTTTTCTCTATTGATCAGTCTTTTATCCCCCACCTCGGCTAACGAGCCGAACAGTGGTGAAGAGGATAAAAGTGAAGTGAAAGTGAAATATGAGTGTGTGGACACAAGACTTTGTGAAATTAATAACTACAATGAAAATCGGTGAACTTTAACGAAGCTTGGTACTGTGTGTTGATTTATCAGAAGACAACCTCACACCAGTTCAGTTTTATAATCAATATTTTTCATCTTTATTATCTATTGTTTTGACTTCATTGACTTTTAAGCAATACAATGGGGGACTTTACCACCCCTATTGGCAAACACTAGTTAGTACTGTACTGTACCTATAGTCACCATTAAGTTACAATAGCATATCATCATTTTATACCCACGTCTAATGCGTGTGTGTGAATTTTAATTTTAGAATATTATCTGATAAGTGTACTGCATTGTATTGCCTTTTACTGTTCTATAGAGTGGTGGATTCTTCATGTGAGAGGCTGTGGATGAGGTGTGTGGTAACTTTACAGACTGTTCAGCACAACTGTACATACTGTGTAAATTCATACAAGAAATGTTACAAACTGCAGCAAACTTAAGTGATGTAAAAAATACAATTATGTTTAGACCTAGAGAGTAACTAGGGTAATTTAGTTAATTTTGTATATCTGTCTTTGATAAGACATTGTATGGTACTGTACATTATTGTATTGTAGGTTCATAGTTCCGTCCATTTGTGCAAGTTTGGTCCATTTCTTCTATGTAGAATCACTGAACTTGGTGGGCTGCTACATATGAGGGTGAATGTTCATGTACACTCACCAAAAACTTCCCCAACACTATAAACAGTCACTATACAATCTGAAAACTTAACGAAGAATCTGAAACCATTCCAAGATGACTCGCCCCATACTGATCAGTCTCACATCCATCGTGTCCAGGTGTTGTAGAAGTACTTGTTGAGTGTACCACATTAAGGTCACTGTGCCTTATGTGGCTTCTCATTAGAGGAAAATATTGTCTGGCTCTTTATTTAGGTTTGTAATTATGGTACTGTACTGTAAGTGTTTTGAAGCTTTTGCACAACTATTTTTTTTTCTACGACAGTATAGGAAAAGATCATTCTGGTGGTGAATTATTAAAAAAGTATGACCATGTTTAGAATGTGTAACTATCTCCCCCCCTTCCCTAAAAATAACTTTGAAAACAAGCCCCATGTTTTCAGTACAGTCCGGTGCATTCCAAAACTGTTGGAGACAAATATATTGTTTACCTGACAGGACTGTACTGTACTCTTGTTCTGTTATCAGATAAACGAACAATGTGTTTCAGGAACAGTATGAACCTGCCAAGACGTCATTTGAATTTCTCCGACAACTGGTGCAAAATATTGTCTCGTGAAAAAGATCCATTTACAAGAAATTAAATGAATCAAAGAAGGTCATGTACAGTATTTATTTAAACTGAAAATACACCTGTCAGGATTATCTAATTACCAACTGAGAAGCAAAATGAACAAGAATCACTTTTTATCCTGTGTCTGTATATTGATGAAGTGGGGACGTGTGTATGTAACTGTGTATAGTATAGCTCTTCAATTTCTTGCCTTACCCCTTTACTCTCATATTCCACACTTGTCATGCACCACTTTCATCTATTATTTCCCCAGTTTCCTCTATAATTTCCCGTTTCCTCTATTATTTCCCCACTTTCCTCTATTATTTCCCCACTTTCCTCTATTATTTCCCCACTTTCCTCTATTATTTCCCCACTTTCCTCTATTATTTCCCCACTTTCCTCTATTATTTCCCCACTTTTTTGAGGTTCCGGGAATTAGCCCACCCGGGCACAGGTCAAACGACCCACAACGGAGCTTGGGGGGAGGGGGACGAAAAAAAAGAGAACGGAAAGAAATTGTAAATATAGAAAATAAAAGGTTATACTGTATTAATCTACACCACGAAGATGCCGGAAAACCAGCTGTTTAAAGTGAGAGATTGTAAGAGCATGGAAACACAGAAGAAGGCAGAGCATTCCACAGTTTGGCTGTGTGAGGAAAGAAGGAGGTACTATAACGGGTTATTCTCGTGTGACCGACATCCACAGAGAAACGGTGGGCACCGCGGGCAAGACGAGTGTTACGAACCCACGGCCTTGCCGGCGGTACACAGGATGCCAAATCCACCGGACATTGCCCGTTAAAGCACCTGTAAAAGAGAGAGAGTGAAGCAACATTGCGGCGAAGAGAAAGGGAAGAGAGATTGACAACTAAAGGAGGAGAGTTAATAAGACGAAATGCCTTTCATTCCACCCTATCTAATAGTTGGACAGAAGAAGAGCCACCCCAGATATGAGAGCAGTACTCCAAGTTAGGACGAATGAATCCCTTGTATACTTGGAGCAACTGCTCAGGGGTGAAGTAGCTGCGGCATCTGTACAGCATTCCCAACTTAAGGGAGGCAGCTTTCGTTATACTAAGGATGTGTGATTTCCAGGACATATTGGAGGAAATGGTGAGGTCTAACATATTTATTTCAGACCTGTCCATCATCCTCATTCATTTGTTCACAAGTATCATTATTCCATCACCACTCTTTCTTATCTCTACTGTATTTACCAAGTATCAGATTATCTCATGTTTATCAAAATTCTCTCGACGTAATTTTACCATTTTCATCCTTCTGTATTGTATAGTGTGTGATCTTCAGTTGTTCAG